TGATTTAAAAATACAGCAAACCAATCCTTTTTCTGGTGCTGTTTCACCAGTGATTGCATTCAGATGCTGAAATATTGAACACCTGAGCTTGCTCCCAATGAGGTCTTTGCCACCAAGTTCAACAACAAGATCGTCAAACTGTAAGTGAGTTGGCCCCAGGTCACACAGAAAATCAATGAGAGTCAGAGAACAAACTTGCATCTCCTGGTGCTCAGTGTTGTTCCTTCTGTGCAGAAAAGTACTGCTGGAGAAGTGTGAGGCTGTGTCACAAGACCTGCTCCAAGGCCTCTCTGTTCAATTCAGCAGGATGCTTACTAGAAACCTAAGAAAACTCATATTCTCTACTAAATTCTATAGGGTTTTGCCCAAGGAAATTTAAAGGCCTCTTTTTCCCAAGCCGTCTCTTATACACACAAGGCTATAAACAAGCAATGCAAGCTTGCTTGCTCTTTGAAAGGCAGCAGCTGTGTTGTTCCAAAAATCCCTCCTGAATGTAAACATATTAGCACTGTATAAACAGCTTGATTTAATAAGAAATGCAATACAATATTCCTGCTTTGTCTTTGGGATCACAGTGTTGATGGTGGCAATAATTCAGAGGTGAATTATGGTATCTGCAGAAAAGAAAGAAACAGAAAACTCTCCAGCTATAGCGCTGAATTAATTTCTTCCTCTTAGCTGAAAATGAGAAATGGCTATAATTTAGTTCCCATTTAAAAGTTGCTGTTGGCTAAACTCTAAAATCTTAATTGCGTCTTAATATTCTCTGCTTATTTTTCCCTTTGAAATCACAGTCTATAGCAATGTAATATTTAGATTAAAAATCAAAACGGAAAACAAACAGGGGAAGGTCACCAGTCGCTCCTAAAAATATTGTTTTTTTCTGAAGTGGCAGAATGCAATGTGCATCTCAGTATTTTAGTTGATTTCTTAACCCTATTCACACTTTTACACCTCTGTGAGAAAGAAAGTGCCACTGACCTCGGGTTTTCCTTATAGTGTCAATGTTCAGGACTTGTTCAATGTGCAAGAAGATTACAGAGAAAGCTTCAAGCCATAGTATGGCTCATCATGCTGTAGGGAGTCGTCGTGTTGCAAAAAAAACTGAAGTCACACTCAATCCCTAAATAGTTTGGAGGTCACTACCAACACATTGTGATTCTCAAAGTTCATAGAAAAGGCTTTAAGAGTAACAGTGGCAGAGAATGCAGAACATGGAAGTCAAATTTTAAACTGACCTTGAAGAACTGCAGAATGATCTCACAGTACTGAGTCTGGATATAAAATCACAGATGCAAAACAAATGCCCAGAAATGCAGAAATCATGTGCTTGGTAAACTGCAGCTTTCAATGTACACACTTGAATGGGCTCTGTATGAGCTAGTAGCACTCCAAAGAAAGATCCTAAAATCAGAGTGAATAGTTCTCCAAAACTATGGTTGTCCAAACAGAATCCAATTTCTGGAATCAGTCTGAAAGGAATGAATGCTGCTATGACTCAACACTAAAAGATACCAGTTTCAGGTTTTAGAACTGGGAGCAACAGCTCCCTTCATTGTGCCCAGGGCAGCACAAGGACCAGCCAGGCCAGCTTCTCCTTATGAAGAATCAAAGATGCATGGAAACAAACTGCCCCCATGCCCAGGAAGAGGAACTCCTACCCACCCTCCGTGCACCCCGTGGCTCCTGGTCATCACACAGTGACGCTCTCTTCATTGTTCTGGGATAACAGACAGGACAATTTTTGCAGTTTCATTATGCTGACCTAGTTTATTTTCTGCTCTTCCAACTTAAGGTCACATACATCTCTTTGCACAGTAGTGCCATTAGAAGTACTGGATTTAAGAAACTTCAATGGAAAGGTAATTCAGAACTGCTGCTTGCCTGTAAGTTCCCATCCCTTTTCATTACTGAGATGGCTATCATGCTAAAAAGGAAATGACCCTTTCTCATCAACATCAGTCATATCCTTTCGCCATTTGTCCAGGATCCACATGGAAAAGGAACTAAGAACAGAAAATTACCTCTGCAAATAAGGGAGTCTTATTCAGAAATGGGACAAATCATTCCCATATACGTTAAATTACAAAAAGCCTCTAATGAACACAGCATGGAAGTTCCATAGATACAGGGAAAGCTTCATCAAACAGTGACTGATTCCTACGATTCTCCTTTTCACATAAAGTGAAGGGAAAATGAAGCTTCTTTACAATATATCATCACAAAACTTACCTTTTGTTCTGTATCACAGAATGAGTTACAAAGGAGCAGAACAGAGAGAAACGTCTTGCCAAACCTTCATAAGCAGACCATTAATTCCTTATTTTGGTCCCTGCATAACAGGGGACCAATGCAATGTGAAGAAGCAGAAGGCTTTGCTCTGCTTCATTGTTCTACTTATGTCACCTCTGTTCTTCAGTCTTGTAATCCCACAAATGCTCAGAAATGCAAAAGTGAAAATATCATTTGTTTTACCCTTGTGATGTATTGCCAAAGGGTAGCCATGTCTCTTCTGCATTTTCTACTTGTCTGGGTGGTATTTTTCAATGCTTTTTCTCACAAGAGAACAAACAATTGCTGTGCAAGAAAAGACCCCTTGGTCCAGCACGCCTGTCCCCTTGAGGGTTATCCTTTTACAACAAGCGTTTCTCTGCATACAGCATCTTCCCCTTCTATAGCACGTTTCCCTTACTGAAAAATCTGTCTCAAACTCTTCTTCATGCCATTTGCTTTGATGGTGTTATTTAGCAAATTATTCCATATGTTGCCTATTAGATTTCAAGCTAAGTATTTCTTCCTGAAAATCCAGATCACTGTTCCTTTCCAACTTGTAAATGACACTCTGAGCTGTTTGAGGTTCTCTTTTTCCCTTACTTTCAAGCACTCCCAGAGATAAACATTTTATTTTCCCTGAAGAATGCTAATCACATTGAAAAGGGCATACAAAATGTTGTGTTACCACTTCAATGACATGGTCTGCACAGCGTGAAATGTTACCGTGGACAATTTGTGTTCTGGCTGCTTGCTGATTTATCCTAAAACACGCATTCCCTTCTCTTACATACGTGTTCTGTATTTGTTTAAAAAATCCTCGGAGCCATGAACTAGAAATGCATTATTTTGAACTGAGAACGAGTACCCTCAAGTTTATTTATCGTTCCTCAATTTATTGCCTCATATTTATAAAAAAAAAACCTTTTGACACAGTTTCCATGTCTGTATTAATTTTTAACCTCTAACTTTTTTTTTTTTAACATCAGCTATACGCATACAAATTTATCCATGGTTGTCAAAGGCTTAAATATATTATACACTCATACTTTTACCAAAGCTATCGATGAATGTTAACTACTCATGCAAATTATGCAGAACAGATAAAATCCAACTGCCGTCTGTACGCAAAATAACAAATATTACAGGTTTCAGTTAAAGCCTTTGTTCCTGTACTTCCCTTGATTTATCTGCTAGGTTGTTATTACTAAGCAAATAAAAATGCTGTGAGGTAGATGGTTAGGAATTTGAAAGATAAAAAGCATTTAACTTTAATTAATGTATGTTAATTTTAGACTTGAATAACATTGTGATCTATTACAAAAAGCAGTATTTACCAAAATTAGTCTCATCACTAAGCCAGTTCTTTCAAACCTTAATATTCTCTCAGGGACAGCACTGTTACTCTTTAAGTGGATTAAATACTAATTTTGCAATTATTTATCTCCATCCATTAGTGAAATTGCAGGAAACGTAAATGTTTTTCAAACAATGAGAGGTACCAACATTCCTCTCCATAATGGTTGTTAGCATTTTATCTCCAAATCCTTCCTCCCTAGCAGAGCATTTTGTACTGAAGCAAGATAAGCTAGTCCTACACTACAGAGCTTCAGAATATGCCATATACTTTGAGGGCTTGGCTGGTATGAATGTGACCAAGTTTACTCTTCCAGAAGAAAGAAAAACAGGAGAGATTTTGGACAAGAGGTACACTGAAGAGCAGGACACTGAACTGGCATCTTTGTACCTTTTCCAATTTCGGCTTCTACGCATGTATCAGTGAAATTTTATTCACTTGTTTTATTGCAGTCATGTCAATTATTAGCTAATATAAAGAGAAATGATCTTCACAAGAGTACTGTTATCTATTCACTAATATATTTTAGAATGTTCCCAGCCTCGACAATTTGTCATTGATCATCAGCAAAACGGGGGTACTGGAAAACAAATTGGTATTTTTTTAACTGATTCTGCAAATAAAATGATCAATGGACTGCTATTCCTCACCAAAGCTACTTTTCTGTGTCTTGGCTAATCAGATTTTGAAATAATTCCAAAATGCCTTTTCTGAGGTTAATCTCTGGTTACATTTCACTACAAGACAAATGAGGTGTCTCAGAATTTTGGTTCTGACGTAAGAATGCACTCCAGCTTCTGTCTTCTTCTAAATTAACTGAAGTTGGTTTGTTGGTGGCAAACCTAGCCTTCACCACTGAGCCCGACTGGTGTAAAGGATGACATCTCTCCTTAAGAGGATGTTTTTCCTTCAGGATCTGTACTTCTGAACACTTCACCAATGCTACATTTAGAACGTGCTCCTAAGTGCAGTGTTAAGGAGCATTAAATAATTTTATCCCCCTTTCATGGAAATACAAAGGAAGAAAACAAGCACCTTAAGATCACACAGGAATTAAGTCTCACTGGGCTTTTCTCCCATGACCATCTTTCCTCACGGCTAAGACTAAGGCTAACTGTGGAAATATCTGTTGACATTACAGCTGGCTCTGACATTGCTATTAGCAACCAAATTTCATGACACAAAAAAACGGTATTTGAGGCTGTTGAATAGTTAACCCAACAGAGACATTCCAGCAACCAGAGAGATAACTAATGCATCTATCATCATAACATCCAACAAAATAAAAAACACAGGACCACACTAAAAAAACATCATTCCAAACGTGTTTTAAACCATGATCAGTTTCTGCATGTAAAGGAAACATGCTCACCTCCAGTAGACAAGCACAGCAATGAGAAGAATGAGGCACACAAAAGTCAGTGCTGAGACCACAATAAGCGGGATGATCCATTCCATTTTGCCAGGAGAAGGTCTCGTGGCCATGCTGGAACTGTTCTTGTCAGCTGCATATTAAGCACATAATAAAAACAATCACAAAGTGTAAAGAGATTTACAGTGTGGAAAAATGTGTAAGGAAAACAAATAGTTTCTCCATTTTACATGATATGAGCAAACATTCAGAGCAAAGATCTTCTAATTGCAGGGTGGGACTCCATTTGTCTTTAATTTGAAACTTAAGAGCACAAAAGTATGGTGTTTATTGCCACATATGGCTTGGATTTTACTCCTGCCTGTAATTACAGTCTCATACACAATTTTAGGACTCGTGCAAGCACCTATTATCAGACATGGAGGATCCCACTGAATTATTCCACCACAGTAGCAAAGTAAATATTTTGCCCCATCATCACTGTTTGCAGGTAAATGCACCCTGTTTCTCAACACTACAGGGCAGCTCTCATTTGCCAAGTTCAGCATACTCTCCTTCAGAAGTAAATTTCTTGGTAACTATCTTAAAATAAAAATCCTCAACATGTTGGGTGTCATGTCACATCATTTGCTGAATTGTCACAATCTGGTGAGTTACTGCATACGAATGCACTTTTTAGCATATGGATTGTCAAGATGGATGGATGAATGAATGGATAGTATGTGTTGTAACTGACAGAAGAAATCATTATGCTACAGCTTTTGAGCAAAATTAAAGTTGGTCAATATTCTGAGATCTGGTCGAGTAACTGTTTCACTTTTTCATGATTCGAACACCATGATAAAATTACTGCAAGTACGGAAGTTAATGAGAGTGGACCCTGTAACCACACTGTGTGACAAAAAATGTCTGATTTGTGAAAATTTGAATAGACTTGATGAATAATTACTTTTAGATATAATCTTCAGATATTTATTTATATTTATTTCAAAGATAATTATCAGATATAAATTTCAAGCTTCTACAGAATTGGACTCAAAGACCCTTCTGTGAGTCCCTTGCAGCTCGGGATATCCTATGATTCTAAAATCATGGTAGGCAGAATGAGATTATAAGCAAAAATATAGAAGTGGATTCTGTATTTCATTCATGTTTCTGAAAAAAACAGGCAGGAGCTGATCAATACCTGTCAGTGGGATATAATGGGAAACAATTACTGTAAACAGCTTCTGATTTGAATGAGAATTGAAATGTACATACTTGACTTCTACTTATCAGCCCATGCAAGTCTTTCCTAACCAATGTGCTTCCTTGCCCTCCTTCACTACTGTATTATCATATCTTCTGAAACTGCTGCAAATCCAACCAGAAGAACATAATTGCCTTTGCACCGTGGGCAGGCAAAACACAGATAATTGGAAGTCACCAGATGTCACATAATATGAAGTCATACTCTATTTTAATAGTATTTAGATTATACTCCTCCATAGGCAGGAGTAAAATTCAACTAACATGGAAGTAAAGGTTAATTGTAAATGCTTTTTGCCTGACTGCTGAAAACAGAGTGAGGCTGCAGGCTGCTGCAAGCCCAGCAAGAAATCTTTCTCGTTTTAAGAAATAGGCTGATGGAGGTAATGCCCTTTAGCAAGCAACCTAAATGAAGTGCTAATCAGAGGGATGTTTGGGGGAAGTGAACGTGCACTGAGTGTAGAAATTATCAAAGCAAGATGAGTAGCCAGTTGTCTCTGACTTCAGTCTGAAAAGATATTGAGGTTACCAACAGAGCCACACATTGTTGTACTTAGAGCACGTGGCGAGCTTTAGTCTTCACAGCATACTAATAACATACAACATACCATTTTAAAGACAGGTCTTTGATATTCTTGACCAACAAAGAGTAAGAAAAAGAACAACCCCGAACTAAAAGCAAAGATTTATTCTCTGTATTTGTAAAACTTGCAAAAATCGTAAGCCCTGAGGCATCTTTTTTCTTTTTTTTTAATCAGTGCATTTCAAGTCATCTAATAGCATGAAAAAGTTAAGACTGTGAGGTAAGTGTTACTAATCAGAACGGCAAAAAGGAAAAAGTAAAAGCATGCACTGAAATAAAGCCCAGCAAGGAGCCAAATGCTCCCCACCACCTTACATCTATTAGGATATTACTTCATTTCCCTCCAAGGACAATATTCTATTCTGTTTCACCTCCACATATTTCAACATAAAAACATATGTTTTTGTTTGCATGGGAAGAAAATTAAATCCATTCTAAGCACAGCACAGGCAAGAGTCCCAATGCATGCTAACAAATTCTGCAATGCTCATGATGCTCCTCTGACTCAGTCTACTGTGGAGAACACACTTATCTGCCCCTGCCAACTCCATCTACCGCAGATGTGAGGATCAGAAGTGCTCAGTGTGCTGAATGCCAGAATTGCAAATGCCATTCCTGCATGCTGATGGCTGGCCCTGACTTCCAGTTGGGAATGCCTAGGCAGTGATGTGCTGCAGAAAAACATAAACCATTCCTGCTATTTCTGTGCTGGCTTTGAGGATGTGTTAGGTGTTTTCCGCTGCTAAGTAAAGTGTTGAGAGAGGTTAAATAAACCAGTGCTAGCAAAGCTGTTGTAGAATGACAGCTGGGGCTAGAAGTGTAGCAATAGAGCTAGAGTGCTGGTGGGTGTCTCATTTAGGCAAAAAATCCTAAGAATAGGCAGCATGCTGAGCAATGTGGAAAAAAGTTAAAGAAAGCACACACAAAAAAGACAGATCCAGGCCTGTTTATTTCCCTGTTCACCTCATATCAAAACACATACAATTAAAAATACTAAGAATTTAACTCTTCCCTTTCCAAAGCAAGAATGTTGAGACATGGTATCACCAACAGCATATCCTTGTAGGGGAAAAAAAAAAAAAAGGCTTAAAAATGGACCATGAAACTCAATTTTTCCTAAGAAATGTAAACAGTTTCCAGTGGCATATGCCTTCGTTGAATTAATTCAGTTTGCCTTTTACTGGCTTGGAATACATCCCGGTAGGATGGAATAAAAATTATTACAGTGTATTTGTTTCAGGAGGTCCCACACGACACAAGCCTCAGCACTGCTAGATTAACTTCTACGTCTGCAAAAATCTATAACTTGCACTTTTCTGCGAAGCACTCATTCAGCAATGCCATCCAGGTCCTGGAATGGATGAGGCCATGGAATGGACATTATTATAGAGTAGTGGGCAGTGAAACTCGTGTACAAGGGTCAAGGCATTCTACAGTCTATGAAACGTACTGTTTTTTTCTGTGTATTCCTGGTAGTTGGTTACTGAGAATGGGGAAGTTTATATCCCTGAAGTTGCACTGCCTGCTATAGTAAGCAACTGTAGGTGCAATATATAAGGTATCTACCTTTTTATTTTGAAACTTCCCATTATCGTTCCTTGACGTTACACAAACCACAGTACAAAGTTCTGTTTGTTGTACTGTTACAGATCCCTAACTACGAAGTACACATTCTGCATGCCCAAAGAAAACCCCCACTGCAGTGCTGCCTCAGATCATCTTGTCACCTGAAAGAAAGGCAGCTACCAGCAAACAAAATTACTGACTTATACAAAGCTATTAGTTATTCAAACATGGAGCTGCAAAAACATATGCTTTTTAAAAAGATTACTTCCACGCGAGCTTGTATTATTGCACAGCTATTTTCTTCCTATTTCTTTGAAGGCATTTCTGCAGCATTCATACTTACAGGTTGGACACAACATGGCATGGCTTTTCACTGTTTTGTAAACAGATGCCAATCATGTTTAACCCTGATGTTGGATAACTGAGATTCATACTGCTTGCCTACTCAAATTGCTTTCAGTAATCCAATTCTTTCATATGCAAGCCATTTTACTGCTTGCTCATATAAACTGCCATGCGAAATGGCTCATATGCCACAGGAAAATACAGTTTAATAATCCTTGCCATGTATGGAGAAAGAAAGAATTACACAGATGTTTAATTATCTTAATGAGGTTACCCCCAAAAGGCTTTTGTAACCTCAGGCCTGGCAAAGACTGCTTAATAAACTAAAATTCACTATGCTAAAACTACATGCCTGGCTTCAAGTTTAATCTGTACATTGTGATCTCTCTACATGGCCCTCCCAGGGGAAGAACTCAGCATAAATGAGTGGGCGCTGAGGGATGGGAGGACCCAGGTGAAGTTTCCATCAAGAGCCAAACCCAGGCCTCTGTTCTTAGTCCCAGTTCGTGACTCAGGTTAAAAGCCCCAACCAGGCTTGCACTGCCTTGCTCACAACATCTCCTTTCTTCATCTCCTATCGAAAGCAAAGGGTCTGCTCAACTTTTCGGCACAACAAACCAAAATTCTAATGGGCTGTATCTGCTGTAGCCTGATTAAACTGAATCACCCTACTTCCCTGCTTCTTTCTTTTTTTTCTTTACTTTCTCTTTTTTTTTTTTTTTTTTTTTTTTGAGCATCATTCTAATTGCTGCTTTTCTAATTTTCAGGTTTCAGAGTCACAGACAATGCTGAGCAGCTGTGTGTGTAACAGTTGCAGATCAAAGGTACAATTAGCCTAATGTGGGCAACAAAACAGAGAAAGGGATGATCAGTAAAATGAAAGAGGAGAATGCAAGCAAGCGCTCAGTGACAGAAGAAAATCATTAATGTTGGCCAATACCACCAGACAAGAAGAGGCTGATGCCATTTGGAAAATAATGACATGGCCTCAGGAGAGGTGTGTGTATGTGTGTGTGAAATAAACACTAAAGGAAAATGAGCCTTGATGTACTAATTGGCCTCGCACTTTCCCCGTAATTTCTTGTGCTCCCCGTTCCCTTCTAATCATCCACACTCATGAGTACTTCCCTATTCAGTTATCTCCTCACAACTGCTAATTTGTTGCTATAGAATTAATTTTACAAGTGTACATTGTTATGAAACAATTTTCTGCTCTTTAAAATGATTAAACTTTCTACTCACAAAGACATTTTGGAAACTCTGACAGCTTTCTTAAAAGTGTTTTCCTGGAGAAAAAATGCATTCAAAAAAGCTCCTGCTCTCTTATTCAGACACATCTACCAAAATATTTGGGCAAATTCTGGTCAGGCAGGCCTCAGCTCTTCCCAGTCACAGCCTGGGGACAAGATGCAAGAAGAGCCTTGCCTGGATGGACTTTGAAGGACAACATCCTCACAACTACAGAGATTCAGACTGAATGCCTCTGTCCCAAAGGCACTAAGAAGCATCTCAAAATCTTAGCAGAACTGAAGAATGTTTGTCTTACAATGTCTAGGCAAGGAGTTGCCACAGTTGTGAACAGCCTAGCTTTTCCCACCTAGAAGTCAAGGACAAGGAATGAACAAGGGAAAACGGCACACTCGGACCCTTCTTCTCTGAACAGCTACTCCTGCCTTCAGCTGCCAAACGTCTTCTCCAGCATGCTGAGGGACCTCGAAGAAGCTTGTCTGGGAAGCTGAAAATCACAGAATTGTTTGAGTTGGAAGTGACTCTTAAAGGCTATCTAGTCCATCTCCCCTGCAATGAACGGGGACATAAAACATGGCACAGTTCCTTCCCTTCTCACTGGGTACATCACCAGAGGTTTAACTAAGATTTAACTAAGGTCAGCTGGGGTCACTGGGTTCACTTATCTTATTCCCCAGCTAATATGTGCTGGTTACTTCAGACTTTGTCTCCTATACAGGGAAACCAGATTATTAATAGACAGTGATCTTCAGAAGTTATCCTTCCCCCATATAAGCACAGAAAAACCTCATTTGCAGAGTCTTTTCAAGACCAATCATCTTTGCATGCAGTCTTCAGGTAGGGTCACTTCAAGCTTCCAAGCCTGCCAGTACGCAGAGCTCTTAAAAGAGCCTGTCTGGTAGGAGGCAAAGCTGCATTGAACTACTTTCAGTGATAGTTCTCTGCATGCTAAAAAGAGACAGAAATCACTACAGACTGAGGGGATACAACCAGCAAGTACTTCTTAGCAATATGAACGATACTTCTCTCTTCATTGATTTTTATCTTCTTCATGGAATAAAACCCTATCTAATAAGAATCATTTTGTCATGATCTAGCTAGTAAGACCAGCTATTCATCCTTCTTTCAATTTGTATTAGGCTGAGAACAAGCCACAAGGCCTTCTGCCAGCACTTACATAAGGGGTGTCATAGTTGGGCCATCTAAGAAACTGGTGCAAGAGAAAACACAAAGCAAGAAAGGCAAGAAGAACTAAAGATAGCTATTCCAGAAGCAGGTTTACTGATGCAGATCAAACTGTTGGGTAACAATGCCGAATGCTTACTCACAGCACTGCAAAGAACATTCCCTCCCTCTCACTAAAATGGTGTTAAGGGCAAATGGCATGCTGAAAGCTGCCTGGCAGGCATCTCACATCATATTCAGTGGGAGCAGTGGACTTTGAAGATGATTTTCAGGTGAGGAGTAAGAAAAATGGCAGTATATTTATTAAAAGTAAAATAAAAATAAAAAAACAGCAAAATATGATGTACGTTTCTTGGTTTCCTCATTAATCTGTTCTCTTACAGAACAGTTATGATTCACAGCATTACAGTCAGGTCAGCATTTCTGTAACAAATGTTATTAAAGATAGGATGTAGCTTTGCTTTTTAAATTGGTTCTCAGCTATAACCGAGTGCACAACGTCTGCATTTTTGTGTTTCTAAACGTAGGGAAAAATAAATATTTAAGGTTTTTTCACAGTAATCTAAATCCAGACCTGCTTCGATGGAAAACGAAATTACAAAACAGTCTATAGATTAGCAAAATAAACAATAACGATCATATAACAAATAATAAAAACATGCGATATCTTATAAATGCTGTGGTACATACACATAATCACTCAGACAAACTTCTTGTATCCAAATCCTAGACCATACTCTGCCAACAAATCTGTATGAATGCACTCCATTTGCTCCTTGCAGTTAAAATATCTGTTTTTCTCACCAACACCTTGAGATCCCCAAGAAAGAACATGTCTATACCCAATGGACCTTCTGCACAGTTAGCTGGGAGCACCAGGAGATGCCTGTTTATGTAAGTAGCTCCCGACCATACAGGATTTGGTGTTCTGATTTGGTGTTCACTCTGGCTGAGATCATTTCATACATAAAAGAAGGCAACCCCAGCACAGAAGGTGCCCTGTCTTGCAAAATCAGAGCATGTAGGTTTTGAGGTGAGGAATAAACCACCAATGATCCCATATTTGGGAGAATATCTCAAAGCCCTATCAGGGAGAATCCTGCAGATAAACAAAATTAGCTTAGAGCATACAGAGAAAGCCTCCCTTGAAACACCAGCTTGGCACAGCAACCACTCTTACAAATTAATTTCACAGCTATAGTTCACTGCATTTCCTCTTTTTAAAAATCAAAACAAAGCTCTTCACGTAGCCTTTTCCCAAAACGCTTTTTCCAAATTTTCTCTTCTATTAAGGAATACGAGTAGCAGAAATCTGCTGTAAGAAAATAAAATTATCATCCTTCTCTCTCTCCTCCTCCCAGTAACAATTTGTTGGTCGGGTCCTGTGATGAACTATCTAATGGGGAAACCAGGCACCAAAAAAAATTGTTGTGCCTTTTGGAAATCAGTAAGGAATGTGGTTTGTATAACTCCCAACAATCTTATGCTTGTAAAAAGAGTTTCCCCGGATGTCACTCACCTGGATTAATGGTGATGAATTTGTTATCTGAGGGATGTTCCTCTGGAAACCTGTCATCCTTTGGGAGAGGTTTTCTTGTTGTCTCTGGTCTTCTTGGGATCTTTCCCAGATAAAGTTCATCGGTGAACGCTGGCGGCACTTGGGTGGAAGGGAGAGGCTGGGGCTGAGTGTCTACTTCAGTAAAACTCTCCTCCTCAGGATGTCCAGCCTTGGGAGCAACATTTTGGTTCGGCTCTTCGTCTGATATGGTTTTATTTCCTTCCTCCTCAGCAGTCCAGTTGGGTGAAGCCGTGGCCACGCTGGGCTCTGTGCTATTGCGTGCTTCCGCCGCAGCTGTTGCCCTGCTTTTCTCCTTCTTTTCAGCCTCCTTTTCATCTTCTTCCTCACGCTCTCTTTCTCCATCCTCACTTTCACTCTTTTCATCCTTCTCCCCTTCCTCGGCTCCCTCGCCATCCTTTGTCAGTGCCGAGTCCCGCTCTGGCCCTGGGGAGGCAGCAGCAGGCTCAGTGGTGGCCACCACAGGCCGCCCAGCCTGCTTGCTGGGGGCGGCTGCCGTGGGCAGCCGGGTGGGCCACACGCTGCTGGGGAAGGAGGAGATGCCGCTGCCGCTGAAGCCCAGCCCCGCCAGCAAGGTGCTGGTCACCACTGAGGCCACGGTGGCCTGGCTGCCACTGGAGGAAGGCCCCATCCCTGTGGCCATGGACACAAAGGAGAAGGGGAGTCCCGAGGAGGTCCAAGTGGAGGAGCCGGAACTGATGGGAGCCATGTCGGCTGAGGAGGCAGGAGAGGCTGTGGGCTTGAGGAGATCACCAGGAGCAAAGGGGAAGAAAACAAGAGCAGAGAGCATCAGTAGGGGTCCTAACACGCTATCTGTGGTCATTTTCCCTTTGTTTTTCTCTCCCTTTCCGCACAAACACCATTCTGCTATTCTCTTATTTTGAGAGACTCAGGTCTACATCTACTACCCAGATGCAAGGCTGAACCAGGAACAGCAGAAGCAACAGAGCCGCAAATGACTATGAGAGGAAACCTGTGTTTGCTATTTCTGAACAATCGCTACCATAAAAAGCCTCTTTATTCCTTATTTGATGGTGGAACACTCTCCATCCACATCACCAGTGACTTGTGAGTAGTGTTTCCTCTCAGGGGTAAGAGAAGATTTAATGAAGCTTAATGAGTTTAGCTTCATTACTCACAGTGCTTTAATCCTCAGAATACAGAAGCTTAAAAATACAGTGTTACATAAGGGTTGTCCTGAAATAACAGCTGTATTGCCTACATGTGCATCCATGGCTGGTGGGGTTGCTCTGATAGGAAACTGGCTCTTCCCACATGCACTGTGAGGGCCTTAAGTAGTACTGTTTTAATTTCCTAAAGTACCCGTGAGCATCATTCTGCTAAGGACTAGTGCTGCAGCAAACATGAGATACTGCTCTCTTTAGAAAAGAGCTGCAACAATACTAGCTGGGCACTCCTGAAGGACTTGCAAAGCATCAGGGTCTTTTTGGCAAATCATCTCTACCAGCATCATCTGACTGAAAGACCCACATGTGTACTTGGTTTTCTCCATCCATGGGATTCTGCCTGCCCATACAAGTTCCAGCCACTGCCAGGTAGCCTGGAGAGCTGAGGGGAAGCAGAGAACAAACCATGAACTTAGACATCTCTGCAGACTGCCAATGTTACTCCCATAAAGTCAACTTGGTGCAATGTGCACTCACTCTCTGTGCACAAACATGTATGTTCCACCTGAAATGGAGAACTTTGGTATATGTAAGAGATAGACAAACAATTCTAAATTATATGTAGAAAAAGACAGTGAGGCTAAGTGCATTTGTCTAAGGACAGGAAGCAATTATGTGTGAGAGCCGAGATCAACACTGTCCACATCACCTTAACATGTTCTCTTTCTGACTTACTACAATCTGCTTCTTGGTACTAGATTCGCCAGCAAGAAGAGCTTTAGGTGGGAAGGTGCCTACCGTACAAGGACAAACAGGGGTTAAATAGGTCCTACTGAATCTCAAACAAGGCCATAAGATGTCTGTATTTCTGAAGCTGAAATCTGTAACTTGACAGTATTTCTGCATCTCTGCAATTCCCAGTTTCAATCAGGCCATGCAGTTGAAATGCTGCAGCAAAACAAGAAAGGCTCTCACACGTTATTTTTAACCAGCTGCAATCATAGAGTACCTGAGATCTCAAAAGCAAACCTGTGCTTTATAGATTTCAAGTCTAAACTTTAAATAAGCATCTAAACTTTTGGGTGCTTATCAGTGTGAATCCCTAAGGCACTGTGAGGTTTGCTCATTGCTGGCATGTGCAGTCTCAAAGCTGGACTGGGTATTACAACTTGGCAGCAGATTTTACATATCTAGAACACCTCTATACATCATTAAACCAACATTAATCATTCAAATTCAAGATCTGTATGTCTTACTTGCTTACTAGGGAGTATATCAGACTGGAGCAGAACAAAACCAGAAGCAGCATCCTTGCAGAAAATTCAATAGTTTGAGCTCAGTTCATAAATCTGACTGACCAGTTTGGTGCACTGAGTATTGACAGTTTTTTCAGTTATTGATAGTTTTGAGCTAAGATGCTGTGCATGAAGCATGATTCTTGTTGCATATACTTTTGGCTAAGCAATTAATAAGAACAGTTAAATTAGTTTCCACAGTCATTAAGATCACATATCCCCTCTAAATGCATTCAAAACATATTTGGGAAGATTTTTTTTCTAACTCGCGAGTCCCCAGCGGTCAAAGCCTCTCAGAACGTGAAGTGAAAAAGCCAAAATCCCTTCCACATGTCAGGTGGGTTCCTTTGTGGTTCGGTTTGAGCAACCACCTCCCCAGGACAGCGCGGGCTGCAGCACATTCACAACATCGTGCTGCCACCTGGTGGGAGCGCTGCCCCGACTCCCCAGCGCCCATCAGCTCACTGCAGTGATTTATGACCCCCAACTTACCACTCCTGTTTTCACAATTCTGGTCCCCTCGAAAATTCGAGTAGTGTTAGCTGAGAAACAAAGAACAAGAGCATTTCAGTGGACTGGGAAGGGAGTCAGGAACTGACAGCCATATCACTATACAATTCTTGCTAAACAGTTGCTGAATTGCTACTATTAAGCCTGTCAACGCGGAAAGGAAATTGAGGCCTATGGATGAATCAGTAACCAAGGGCTTGGCAGGAAAATGTCAGAGAAGACCTGTTGCATGCAATGAAGTCCAAAATATATATGCTTTCTCAGTCTGGAGTTAAGGCAATTTTGATATTATTCACCTAACTCTGTACTTGTGCCTAAAGAGAGATGTGTTATTCTTTAAGCACTCAGGCCTGGCCTTTTTTTTCTGCCTTATATATTAGCCTTATATATTGCTATTTACCTAAAGTAAAACTATAATCACATTCTGAACAATGTTTTGAAAGCTTGAACACAGCTGAAGATTTGAAATAAAATTTCTTTTAGGGGAGACTTGGAAGGAAACACAACATCCGCTCTCACCGTAATGTGTGTATCACTTCCAACACTTTGAACTAGAGTTCCCGGAGTATCTGGCAAAACTGCCAGTAACTATTTACTCCTTTAACTGTAATTTAATAGGTATCATGGTCAAACCTCAAAGAATCTTTCAATTCTACCATCTGCCAAAAAAGGTCATAAGCAGTAACACACAAGTTTCTGACTTCTGCCTGGCACCTGAAGTAAGCTTCATAACACTATGCTGAGACAAGATACTAAGAAATGGTGAGATTTTGATTGGACAGGACGTTCCCTGTCTGATTCCTGCTCTCCCTGCGATGTCGTTAACACCACAGCACACACTACAGACATCCAGGCAGAACTAAGCTGTGTCCATGTTGTGCGTACAGTAAAACATCTCTACGTGTGATTCTCAACATGAGACTGATCTACTTCTCCCTTTACATAAAGTAAGTACATCTGCACGTTCTGCTATAGCTGATGTGTAAGAGTCTGCAATGGATTTGTTCTAGAAAACTAACACCAAGAAAAGTTTTGCACTAGGCAAATTCCCATCGCTGGAAATAAGGCACTGACAGTCACTGGTCACAATATAAAATGAGCATTATCTGCATGCATTCAAACATCATCTGAAATCATTCCACACCATACAGCATTCTGTAAAGAAAATGTTAAACACGCAAAGAGTCACTTAATGTAAGAATATGTATGTACGTTTGGGTTTTTTTACCTTGAAAGAGCATAGTCTGGCTAAAGTCACTACGCATTTCATTTCGGCAAACTGCTTGAACTCTGAACAGATAAAGGATGTCAGGTGAGACATGGCTAATGATGGCCTTCTGTTTAAAAAAAATAGATATTATTCAGTTTTTTACCCCCACAGTACTGTCCATCAGTTTGAAATATATAAAGCATTGTGCTAACATTGTCTTACATGGCACAAACGTCCTCACTGATATCTGAATGGAAATTTTCACTGGTTCCCCAGGGAAGGGCAAGACCAAGGTCAAAGGACGTCCCTGAGATACAAACGATTCACTCAAACCTTGCAGAATTCACTGTTTCTCAAGGAAGAGAAAGGAGGTGAACATGCCCCATGACAGTCTTCCACTCTGAGGGTCTCTGCTCTCAGAAACACCTACACTCCAAATTATTTGACCTTAAGTGAATTCAAATGAGATTTTTGTTGGCAGAGATGCAAGTCCCAAACCTGTTTTAAGCCCAGAGAAGGACAACATGTTCAAACTGACTATTGTGCAACCAACAGGTTGTGGCAGCAACTTGATGCTGGCGGCCTGCAGTAGCTCAGCACACTGGCTGGGACGTTGCTATCCACTCTTACACACTAGATGCTGCCTTGCTGCCTTCCAGCTACTCCTGTGTTGCCTTAAACTGCAATCACATCAGTTCAGTTTTCAAGCACAAAGCACCAGTGGCTGTGGAGGTCACTTGAAATACCAGTGATCTCTTCAGCAAAACACTGTCTAGCTTTGTTTCAAGATGGGACATCCCAGCTGTCTCTGCCAGAGCACTAAAGGCAAATTGCACTTTACTCCGAAAAAGAGTTTCTTTCTTCTCTTGCCCCTAAAATAGACTAAGCTGTCATTGCTTTCTTAACCTCCAAGCTCTGCTGCACAGCACAGGGTCTCACAGCAATTTATTTCCAAGCTATCACTCCATCACATCCCTTGCACTTTTAATTATTTCTTTTACATCAAACAGGATGCCGTCTCCATGCCCACCTCATTTTTGCTGATTAAGGCTCTCCTCCCTATACCTGATTAAAATGACATCTCCCTTAAGAGTGCAAAGTTATGACAAGAGAGAGGTTACAATACATCATAACCTTGGATGCCTTTCAATACATTCCTGTCTGGTTTTGTGAGGCACATCATTCCCTAATGTGACCCAGATAACAATGTCTAGTGGGGAAATTGAAAATATTAATGGAAAATGAAGTAAAAGAATCTTCATCTAAGGGAATAAGAGAAGTATTATTGTATAACTGATTGAATGGGCCCAGAGGACTGTGTATTTGAAGAAAAAAAAAATACGATAACAGTCAATAGGAATAACACTCTATGCTCCTGCATTTTTCATGTGCATATACAATTACTGATTTCATTATTCTAGAGGCTTTCTTTGATTAACAATAAACGGAGGCCTTTCAAACCTGAATATGTCACTTTGATTTTATATGCAGAGAACGTTAAAGACTGGTACAATACTTGCTTCCACTTAGACAAGAATGACAAGCAGATCAAATCCTAAATGGAGGAGATAGATCAGTGTTTGCATCTGTGCTGGAGCTGTCTTGCTCTTCCCACTTTTTCTCTTACAAGAGGAGTGAGGCAGTGCATGCACAGAGCAACTCTGCAATAATCCTCCTGCCCTGACTGCTGCTGGCAGCACTCACAGATCAGAAACCGATCCAAAGACTGCAAAGGGCTATGCACAGGGAAGAGCCTGAACCCAGCAGCAGATTCTGGGGGATCGGGGATTTTAATGTGAAAAGCTGAACAGAAGCTAAAAGGTACTCAGAGTCTGACTATTTCCTGAGACAGCTGCTTCTTGGCAACAGCACATGAAAACGTGTCTGCAGATTTAGTCCTTTATGCACTCACATAAGCTATAAATTCAGACACCAGTGTTTTGGGTAAGTCTGTTAGGCAATGTTCAACTAATGCCTAACAATCTAATAGCAATACATGGCAAGTCAAATCCTAGTCTGTCTGTAATGTAACAGCTGCTTCCCTCCTCTGCTTCCTTCTGCTGAGAAGACAGTGCAAGGACAGTTTGATACGTGTGGCTGGGGCTGATGCTGTGGTTTTACCAGGTCCTTGTCACTGTCCTTGGTGAAAGTTTTCTCCTTTTCATCTTCATTTTTAGTCCAACTGTAGGAGATCATGTAGTTCATGATTGGAGGGTGGTAGATGGTTTCTGGTTGGTTCCAGGTTACAAGCAACGCTGTCCTGTTCACAGGCTGCACTTTCATGTTGACTGGGGGAGTGCTGCAAGCTGAAAAAGGAAAAGAAAAATATGAAACTCTTGTAAATAACTGAGAGAAAACAAACAGGGAGAACTGCCTCACTCTAAGACCCAAGCTTTTTCTTTAATGCCCTTGCCTGCAGTAATAGCTTACACTGCAATCCACTGAGACCAATGGGATTTAATACCACCTGCAGCTGCTTTCTGCTCTCCAGAGTAAAGGGAGAGAGAGAATCCATTCTCTGCAAGCTGACTGCTCAGTGCTTTGCCTTAATTTTAATGCAAGCATTTGCACGTATATTTCAACCTGGTCACTAAAAAGTTTTCTATTTCCACATTCACAATTACAGTAGAGCCCCATCTTTCCTGGCCCCTAGTCTCCCACCATATGAAGGGAGAAAACTACCTGGTGTGCTCTGCAGGCTCTGGCAGTAGTTGTATCCTCTAACAATGTGACATTGTTATGTCAGTAATCATTCTCCTCCTAACCCAGTACATCTTTTGTACATGAGAATTTAGTTCTTGCTCTTTTTTCCTACATGTTTTCCTTCATAGTCTCTGAACTGTTTGTCATTAAAATATCATCAGCACAGAAAAGAGCAGCACCTGATGGCCCTCAGTCATCTCCTTCTGCTAGCAGGCAGGGAAACCCTCCAGCCAGTCTCAAAAAGCTGCGGCTTCCTCACCATACCCAGAGTGCAGAGGCAGAAGTCATTTCTGGCCCCAACCATGGTTGGTGCATGGTTGGACACAGAGCACAGCCCACTCGCAGCTGCTGCAGCACATACCTTTCAAGCAACTGAAATATGAAGGTCGAGGTACTAATGAAAAACACTAGATGGCACTCATATGCTATCTATAAAGTTTATCATTCACTTTCCAACTATGGAGTTCAGATATTTTCCAAGCTTTAAAATATTGTGTTTAAAATACACAGTTCGGGACAGATTCTCATGTTCACTTTCCAAACTCTGAACCAAGAAAAATCACTTGAAATGATGCCTAAATACATGCACTGTGGCAAAGGAGATGGTAAATTTTGGCAGGGAAAGTCAAAGTGTCACCAGCCCATCACATTGACACTGTTTCAGTTATTTTTCCTAATATGACTTCCGTTTAAACCCAGCCCATTCAGCTTGTATGCATGCTGCAGGTAGGTGACTGCGTATATATCTGGACGTTAGTTCACTTCTATGGAGTCTTGGCTGTACTGAAAAGTCTGCTCCTAGGCCTGGAGTTCCAGGTCGGTCTTATAGCTCTGCTGTAGCATTGCTGAAATAAGTTACAGTTCCTAAATAAAAAAGATAGAACGCTGTACACACCAATATTACCAATGCAACAGGAAAACACCCAAGAGCTTCATTTTGCTGGCAATGCAGCTGAGTGCTGAAGGGGGGGCTGGACCTGGCTCTGAGGGCACAGCTGAGAGCAGACACCATTGCTGAGATTTACAGAGCTTCGTGGTTCTTGGTATGCCTCTCCATGCTTACCTCCTTCTGCTGAGATTGTCAGATCAATTCTCCTTTACATCACTGTTTACTGATAACGGCACTAATAAATCATAACTGCCCCCTCTGAAGCCTTCTGTCATCACAGAATCACTCCTCAAAATGCCATGCTGGCCTTCGCCATTCCTCCTAAATAAATCCAATTGGAGGTGGTACCCAGGGTGAAGGAATACCCAGACCTGAAAGTCCATCTAGTCCTCCTTCTCCATGAGGAGATTCAGAGATTTATACAGTTAAAGTGATCATGCATCAAATTCTTGCAGAAATAATTCAACCAGATAACCTTCATGAGAGACAGACAGATTACCTTAATTGCAATGCCCCCCTCAACCATCCCATGCTTTTGTAGATGACGACCCTAAGCCACCCAACGGAGAGCGGACTGCCATGTCCTCTGCTCCACACCACTCTTTGCAGCCAGCATCCACATAACTCAGAACAGCTCATGACTACCAGAGGAGGGGAACAGGTATGTCCCAAGGGTAAATGGAGACATACAGGCTCAACATTAAGACATCCTCTGCGACCATGCATCGTGATCCAAGGATATGGGCACTTTAAGCAGCTCAATGACTGCAAGACTTCACCGAGACATTGCATGACTGGGGTGAGTTGCCTTCACGGCCAGCCGAAAGGAGATGGAATTTACTCTGCTGCTATTTCACAGTAAATAATGTTACAAACTTTTTATGACTTAGTATGACTTTGCTTTGCAATTCCTCAGAGGCACTCAGAAGAACCTGATGTAATTAAGTAATAACCAGCATTTTTTGTTCGCTCACTTTTTCTTTCTTTTTACAGCTTATGAATGGGCAAAAAAAAAATATCCTTTTTATAAAATGAAACATATGGTTTTATTAATTTAACCAAACCTGCTCAGGATACAATGGAATAAAAAACATTTGATCCAATAATTCAATTTGATGATTTAATTAAAGAGATGTGTAATAACGTAGCAAATGTCTGAAAAGCAAGAAAAAATGTAATGATTTGACCATTTATAAAACAACTGGCATTTTCCACAGAGGTAATTTTCCTTTCAATATTCTGTGCGCATTGGATTTTCAGCAGAAGATTAAAAAAATTGCAGCTCTTCTCTTTCTTTTCTATTATTATTATTTTTTTTTACACTAAAGAGCTTCTAATGATTCCACAAAATGTGTGCCTGAAGGACAAACAGAAGCAGAAAGAGGTTGGGTCAGGAAAGAGATGCCTGAGTGCTCCTCAGGACTGAATCAGAATACACCAAAGAGTAACACGTGTGGGTTGGTCCATGTTTTCTTTTAACCAGGTAACATAAGCAAAGAATCCAATGAACTCATGATGTGCTTCAGGAAAAAAAAAAACAAAAAACAAAACGTAGCCCAAGAACCAACATCACTTCATGCTGAAATGGCAGATTTCAGCTATTTTTAAGAAAGCATTACTAATGTTCTGTTAAACTCGGATCCTAAGGGATAATAAAAATACTGAGGGAGATTTCAGGGTGTCTCTCTGTGGTATAACGGTACAGCACTGGTACGAGCTGCTCAGGAGGTGGTGGAGTCATCATCCCTGGGTATGTTCAAGAACTGTGGAGATGTGGCACTGAGGGACAAGGCTGGTGGGCATGGTGGGGATGGGTGATGGTTGGACCGAATGATCTTAGTGGTCTTTTCCAATCTTAATGATTCTATGAACACAGAGTGGAGACACTTGAACTAGCACTGTGTAGGTCTAGGGTGATACCAAAGCCATGACTGAGGGCCAGCAGACTGCTGGAGACCCAGGAGGCAGAACAGCCTCTCTGGGGCCACAGGAACATCTCTGGGAGGCTCAGCAGGATGGGATGTTTGCTGCAGCAGGGGTACATCATGCAGCAATGCCCTGAGTGCTGCATGTCCTCTACAAATAAAACCCAAAAGCTCACTCAAGCTTAGAGAAAACCTGTTTACCACTTGCAGACAAATGCAGCATGCTAATACAGTCCTAAGCACTGGCCAGGCCAGTCATACAGCACAGAATTATTTTCTTCGTGTTAAAAACATTCCAGTGGGCTGGAACAAACAAAATTAATTTAACAACTCCACATTCATTTCTTCCATAATTTGATTTGTGTGTTGTATTTGGCCACGTAACCTCCACGAGGCTTTCCTAACTGGAGCCTGATAAAGCTTAATCCAAAAGCTCCTGGCAGCTACATTTCACAGAGCTGAAAGACAAAAAGAAGGCTTATCATTTTGCAAAAATTAACCACTGATATTTAGATACACCCATGACTGCAGAAAGGGCATGTCAGCGAGATTATGACAGCTTTCCTTTTTTGTTTGTTTGTTTTCAAAAGCAGCCTATATTTCTCTTTCACAGAGAGAAATGCAAAAGCAGCCAAGCTTTCTGGGTTTCATTATGCTTTTTGCATATGCTACCTGTGGTTATAAGAACTACTTAGGGAAAGCACAAGAGAGCACAGGAGCTATATATGGGGCTATTTCTTGTACATCTTCTCCCTGTAACACAGGTATCTTGCATGATGAATCCAGAGGTACTGAGCTCAGAGGGATTTATAAAATCCTCTAAAAATATTCTAAGTTAGCTTTTCTGTGCATAAAAATGTCACTACTTTAAACACAGTTATTTCTAGCTGTGCTATGCCCTCTTTTGGAAAATCCCACTCTCTCCCTCCTGCTACACGTCTCAGCAACACAAACTTGCCATTCCTCTTCCTTGCTATCGCGGGATGTGCATTGAATGATAGAATTCTGACATTTTTCGGAGCAGAAAAGCAGTGTCCCAGTGAAGTCCTGAATCCCTCGTTGTGAGATGGGCACGGACCTTGTGAAGCAATTCATACACATACATCTGCATATGGGGATGTGCCCATCGCATGCTACTGCCTGAGGACTGCTCAGAGGCAGCTAAAAGACAGCGACAAGGGTCTTGTCAAAGTCAACAGAGGGCAGAGGCAGGGCAAACAAGTGGGTAGCCAAGCTGATGAGGCAGTGAGGGTGCTTATTTCCCCTCAACCTTAGCACTGGGAAAGAGGCGGAAGAGCCAGGTCTGCAGGACAGATGGAGCCCTTGCTGCCACTGCTGCAGTGACACCTAACCCAGCCATGAGTTTCCCAGCTGATGTCAGAGGAGCCTGCAAACAGTGTAATCGATGCCTGTGCTATTGGCAAAACACTGTGCCGAGCTTGGCAGCCTGCAGAAACCTGATTGCAGACAAGATAAAAGCAATGCCACCACCAGCAAAGGGAAGAAAAATGATTTCAACAATATATAGATGCGCACATATATTCCTTCTCATTATCAGGCCCTCAAAACTATAAACACATTCACACTTGTTTTAATGCCATGCCAACATAATCATGGTACCAGTGGTGATACAGTGCCAGCTCCAGCTGCCTTGTGTTGGTGCTACTCGATGGAAATGCCTGAGAAGGGAATCTGACCCATGACAAACAACAGCATTCTTTTGGCTGTCTGATTTAATCTTGGAGTTCAGCAAGGGCTGCGCTCCCAGAGGATAACAAATCGACTACGA